AAATTTAGTCGCCTCACTCAAAATTGAACCCCAAAACCGCCACTGGTTCGCAGACGCATCATTAGTTACATATGGCGCTTGTCTATATCTCCGCGTGAAGCATAATAATGGTGAAATCACAACAAATTTGATTTATTCAAAATCACGCGTCGCGCCATTAAAAATCGTATCATTACCGCGACTAGAGTTATTAGCCGCCGTCTTGCTCGTGCGACTGGCGGCCAAGTACGCGTCGAATCTAGGTATGCAAATTGAACATAAATATTTTTGGTCCGACTCGACCGTAGTGTTGTCATGGATATCGTCGGAGTCCGCGAGATGGAAGACCTTCGTAGCACACCGTATCGGCGAAATACACGAAACCACATCGATATCGCAGTGGCACCACGTTAGCACCAAAGATAACCCGGCGGATATTGTTTCACGCGGCTGTTGGTCCTGCTAAAATCGGTGAGTTAATAAAGAAGATGCTGATTGTCCAAAAGCAAAAAATATTAATTATTGTCAAGCGGACGAAGCTTTATTGGAAGCTAGAACAGTATCGCACGTATTGTCTACTGTCAAGTACGATTTGTCGATTGTGGAAAAATACTCATCATTATTAAAACTACTACGCGTTATTGCCTTTTGCTGCCGATAATGCGTCGAAGAAGGAAAGGCTAAGTGGTGCACTTCAGGCAAATGAAATAGATAATGCTGAAAGTAGTGTTATTAGGCTAATACAGACTAGTAGTTTTGCGAGCGAGATCCAAGACTTATGCAAATCAGGCCAGGTAAGCCCTAAAAGTGCATTGCTGCGACTACGTCCATTTTTAGATAAAAAAGGGTTGATTCGGGTGGGCGGTTGCCTAGGAAATGCATCTACTTTAAATGAGTCGCAGCAACATCCAACTATTTTGCCGGCGAAAAGCGTTTTCACCCAATTAGTGTTTATATATTGGCACGATAACTTAATGCATGGTGGCCCGCAAGCTGTTTTATCAGCTGTTCGTCAAAAATATTGGCCACTTAACGGACGAAATATTGCGCGTCAAGTTGTACACCGGTGTGTAAAATGTTTTAAATATAGACCTGCTGTTTTCCAACCTATTATGGGTGTACGGCCTGCACGGGTATTTAAAAGAACAGGTGTAGATTTTGCGGGTCCATTTATTATAAAGTCTAGCTATGCCCCTTTAAATAAAGCGTACGCGTGTCTATTTGTTTGCTTTACTACTAAAGCAGTGCACATAGAATTGGTAGGTGACCTGATCACTCAATCTTTTTTAAGCGCATTGCAAAGGTTCTGTGATAGACGGGGACTTTGCACTGACATATATTCCGATAACGCAACAAATTTCGTTGGCGCAAACCGTCAGCTCCAAGAATTGCGAGCACTTTTTCAATCTACGGAACATCAAGAGCGTGTTCAAGACACATTGTCAAAATCTAGTATTCAATGGCACTTTATACCACCGCGGTCTCTTCATTTCGGCGGCCTTTGGGAGGTGGCAGTGAAGTCGCTAAAATCGCATTTATATCGGACGCTAGGCAATGCCTCATTCACCTTTGAGGAATTAAATATTGTATTGATACGTGTAGAGGCAATTTTAAACTCACGACCTTTAACTCCTTTATCCTCACACCCTTCCGACTTATCCATTCTCACCCTCGGACACTTTCTTATTGGTGACGCGCTAAATTCGCTACCCGACCGCGATGAAAGGGATGTTCCGACAAATCGGTTGTCAAGGTGGAGACGAGTTGTGCAATTCGCGCAACAACTATGGTCCAGGTGGACAAGGGATTACCTCACACAACTCCAAGAAAGAACAAAATGGAAAACTTCTAGTACTAAGTAGTTATGTACTGCAGTAATTATTTTATATCGATAACAATATTGTATTAATGTAATCTAAGTTTCTGCTCAGTTTATCTTTTGATACTGGTACGACGGTACTATTTTAGTGTTTAGTGTTGTTCTTGTTGTTTTTTTTTTTTTAGATTATTTTATACATTTTTAAATCTGCTAATTGTTTTAATATTTTCATTATGACTCGAGTAAGTATTTTATTTTATTCACCAATGTTTACTTAAAGAATAATGTAATAAATAATAATATTAATTTATATCTTAGTCTTCATTAAAAAATCGAGATATTTGGTTAGTTGGATCAACGTCGGAAACTATATTTGGGAACAAACTGCCATCAAATAGTCAAACATTATGTAAGTTTTTTAATTTACATTTGGATAACAATTATTCTATTCAACAAAGTTCTACTTTAACTGCACAGGAAATCATTACATTTTGGGTCAGGACTAATGTATCAAATAAACAAGAATACCACTTATTTAAAAAAATTAAAGATTTACATATAAAATGGATAAACTTAAAAAAAAAATGCATTAAAACGGTCAGATAACTAGATAATAAAAGAAAATGAATTTATAAATATACTTGACCATCTATTTGATACCTATAGCATATAACAACGTATTAAATTTAATTAATATTGAAGAAGACAAGTTGTTTTTGTTAGATCAGAGAAAAAAAGGACGTTGAAGATATATAGCAAAAAGAGATATAAATTTTTTTTTAATTGAAGAAAAACGTATACAAAAAAATGAAATATTGGATAGTAGAAAACGTAAGGAAAGTCAAAGAAAATTTGAATCATCATATCAAGTTACTAAGTAGAGAAGTCCACTGAACAGTCAAAATGTCCAAAGAAAAGAATAAAAATTATAGTTAACAGTACCCTAACAACAGTGTTGGATAGAGCTAATATAAGTAACAGAAATGCGACATTTGTATTAGCAGCTGTGGCTCAGTCAGTTGGGCAAGATTTAACTAGCATTGCTTTAAATAGAGAATCAATACGAAGAGCTCGTCGTCAACAATGAGAAAAATTGCAGCAGATATAAAATCTGCCTTTGATTCATCTGACTCACTAATAATTCATTTTGATCAAAAAATCCTACCAACATTGACAAAAACAGAACACGTAGATCGCTAAGCCGTTTCAGTTTCCGGAAATGGTAATTTAAAATTTTTAGGTGTTCCACAATTGTTAAAAGGTACTGGAAAAATAATAGCTGAGGAAATTTATGATCTTCTTAACGACTGGAACTTATCAAATCGTGTTCAATTTATGTGTTTTAATACTATTGCTAGCAATACAGGACTTAAAAGTGGTGTATGTGTTCTATTAGAAAAATATTAGAAGGAGTATTGTTAAAATTGGCCTGTCGGCATCATATTTTTTAAATTGTCGTAGGTAAAGTGTTTGATTGTTTAATGGACCCATCAAATGGACTAAATATTGCATTATTTAAACAATATTCAAAATCTTGGCCAAACATATAAATAATGAGGGATTTAAAAATAGCTTAATGAGTATATTAATTCTATCATCAAATTTAAATGTGATAAAAACTGATAGGGTAAAATTTATTATTGATCAATTCACTAAGTTTCAACCACGTGATGACTATAAAAAGTTACTGCAATTTAGTTTATATTTCCTCGGTGAAAAGCTTCCCGAAAAAAATGGTTTTAAAAACCCTGGAGCTTGTCATCGAGCAAGGTGGATGGCGAAAATAATTTATAGTTTAAAAATTGTTTTGTTTCGTTTACAATTTGAACTAAAAGACACAGAATTATCAAACTTAGAACATTTTACTTTGTTCATAATGAGAGTTTGTTTAAAAGCATGGTTTACTTCAACTGATGCTTCAAGTGCACCACTAAATTATTTGAATTTTATGAAAAATCTGAATGGGTACAAAAATACAAGTAATAGTATTTATAAATTAGCCTTAAACATTTTTTTCCGGACATTTATGGTACCTTAGTGATACATTAATTGGATTGGAATTTATTGGCAATCGAGTTTCAGATGATATTAAATTAAAAATGGTCAAGTCTCTAGACAAAATTGGAACTAATGTTCTTAAACACAGAATAAAAATACCAGTACATAGTATTTCAAATTGTGAATTAAATGATTTTTTTACAAATAATACACAAAAGCTTTTTACGGCTCTTAACATTAAAACTGACTTTTTAACAACACACCCAAGTACTTGGAAAAACAGTACGGAATTTCTGAATGGATAAAAAAAATTAAAAGCTCTTAAAGTGACTAATGTTGCAGCTGAAAGAGGTATAGCATTGATGACATCATTTAATGGAACTCTTACAAATCAAGAAGAACAACAGCAATATATTCTGCAAGTAATCGAAAAACACAGAAAAGATTTTCCTGATTCCAAAAATACAACTTTGTTACAAATATAATTGGTTGTAAGCCATATGATTTTTATACACTTTATCAACACAATAGTTATGTAATGTAATGAACCAGTTTTTATTTACTTATTATTGTTCCTAATATAATTTAAAACTAAATTTATAATTAAATTTAACATTACAAAAATAAAATTATCTTAGGTATATATTATTTTATATTTGGTATTTTTAAGTGCATTAAGCGAACTTGTAAATTTTTTTAAATTTTTCATACTTTCACAATATCACTTTTATTATAAAATATTATAAATAAATCAAATTAAAAACATAAGAAAACTAAATAATTATTTAATTATGTACTTATAATATATTTGAATTGTTGTATAATTAACGATGAGTTGACGAATTTGAACAAAAATATACATAAACACAACAAATAATACAACTCTGTCACTATAATAGGTAATACACTAATACGTATGTACTTTGGTCTATACCTACCGAAGTAATGAATTCTAATCGACATTTTTTATTTTAAATAAAGGTAATAATGTTATATCCTGTAGAATTACACATCATGTGTGATTCGCATTATTCAGTAACACAACCAAGATTGATACCAGTTAATATTAGATAGAATAATATATTAGCTATATGGCTATAAGTTAAACGTCAATGAAACGTCAATCATTTAAAATTATTATGAGTTCTATCAAAATCAATTAATTTATTACATTTATACAGTTATCTTATTTTCCATTTAAAGCTAAAAACTCTAGCCGAAACTATTGACATGGACACATTGTTTCATGATCTTAAAATTTAAAAAAAAATATTATTCAAGATTATATTTGAAATTGTTTACTTATATATTCACTAATATTAACATGTATATTGCAATAGTGCATAATTTACATATTTATTTGTATGTTAAGTAATTAATAATTATAATATTTTAAAAATCAATTACCATGTCACCAGAACACCAGATATGATATTTAAACATTTTTCAAATTGTTTTTAGGAAGGTTAATATTATGATATTGTACTTACTTCGATATTTAAGACTGGCAATGTGATTGCACTTAATAGATATTTCAATGAAGTATTATAATCACTAATAGTATGGTAAAACGCTATATACTTGTACATGGTAGTATATTTTTTATATAGATCATCGTCGACCACGGAATCTACAAAATCTATTGTTTAACCATCCTTGATATTGGTCATCCTTTTATCGTCATTTCTCTATAGATGATATAATGAGATAAATTATTTAATTTAAAGTAGAAAATTTACGAATTAATTTTAGTAAATTTTGTTAAATATTGTAGAGGTACCACTTAATTCAAATTTAAGTCCAGGCGCGGACTGGCTGGGATGCTAGGTGCTAAGCACCTTTCGCCCTAAAGTATATTTGTTACTATTGCAATTCTTAATTACTCTATTTATACATATTTGAATTTGAAGGTACGTTACAACTTAATTGTAGGTAGATCTATTATTTATAAAATATTATTACAATCATAAAGAATACATTTAGTGACTACGTAGTAAGGAAATAGGTTAATCAGTTTGAACAGTTTGTTTATACATTACTTTATTAACTTATTGTTAACACAATGTAACATTGAGTTTTTAAGGCGAGGGGTAATAATTAAACATAATTTACTAACTTATTTAAATGATAAATTTTTCTTCAATCATGTGAGAGCCAGCAGTCAACTGCTCCCTAATAACCCCATAAATGCTGCCTTTATAATGTTTATGCTATAATTAATTCTGAGACCCTCACAGAAAGTTTCATCAATTGCTGAATAAGAACCAAAATAAGAACCAGACCAAAATCATGTATCCTATAATTGAAGACTCAAACAATTATTTTACTACATCCTACATGTTAAATCAAAACTAATCTTTTTAGATCAATATAACGTAACAAAATTAATATAATGATGAATAAAAGAGGTCTCAAATATTATAATCTACAAATCGTTGTATAAAAATTATAAAACGAATTGATTTAATTACATCAAAGAACTGCAATTTGTATAATAATAATAAATGATAGGGAAGTACAGTTATATTTTAAAATAATAATACTTATAGAGATTTGTTGAGATATTAAATTATAAATTAGTTATTACTATAGAAAGTATACAAGTAGTATTTTCATACTGTAGATTAGCTATATAGTTATACATTTATAAGGGAAGCGGAATACTGAAATGACACATTCTTATTGTGTGGCATTTTCGTGTTATACTGATGATGTTACGTATTTCAACATATATATTATACGGAGAGTGATGTGTACCGATGGAATAATATATTCAAATAGTGTAGCACCAACGGATAGGGCGAACACCACATCGTGATATTTTATAATATTAAGACAGTCACACGTCCTGGACTTCCAGAAATGATGAGTAAACGATAGTGTTAACATTGTACTAGAATGACAATCAAGACTTGATCAACGTCTTGTAATTTTAGATCGATGAAATCGCAGGAAGGCACAACTGAATAATATTTAATTTAGAGAGTCTAGGTCATCGAAGTCGCAACCTCCCCAGTCACCACTCATGACGGTTAATCATATATA